TTTATCAAGCAACTGGCGAGCAACCCTGGGACGATCAGAGACATTGTTGCAGGAAATGCCTTGATCAAAGGCACAGTTGGAATTGCCTCCTACAACCATTGGACGGATGAGTGCAGGTGTTGCATGCCTTGCCCTTTGTGCACTCCCCGCTGCAACTGCAATGACTGTGGGACTTATCGCGTTCCCAGGCCTAATACCCACCAGCCATATTTTGCATTCACAGTCCGATCTCAGACCAAAGAGTACAAGTTCTCCCTTACCAATGATTGCCACAGGGGGTCGGTTTCTCTTGCTTTGCGGTATCTCCCGACCGGTGGCTCATGGAGTTCAGCGTGTTGGTACAGCATCAGGTCGGGAGCCACCATTACTCCCGGGAATGCCAATGGCGACGCCTTGAGAACCACCAACGGTGTCTGGTATTTCTATGCTGAGACTGGAGACCGTTCCTATTCCTGGCGAGGCACCGACAACACTCGCACTTGCCGGGGTCGGTCATTGGGCATGCGTAAGAAGACCCGAGTTTCAGGTTCCAAGCTGACTCTCCGCTTGACATGCAACAACCGGAGAAGGTTGAGCGAGAACGAGACATCGATGTCCAATGACGAGATGCCAGATCAGCAACTCTGTCTCTTGGCCGATGATGGCTTGGAAGGCACCGTTGAAAATGACAAAGATGCCATGGATGTGTTGGCCTTCCCCAACCATGATGAGGATGAAGGCGTTGGCGTGCCCGTTTGTACTGAGATCGAAGATCAGGGTCCTCTTGGTGTGTCCTTTTCACACGAAAATGGCCTTGCGTTTCAGGGTGTCGGCAGCAACGCCTCGCCCAGCAACCCGACAAATCAGACACATGTGACACATGATGAGGGTGAAGTGATCCAGGAACCTTCATGTGATGAGACGTGTGTGGCCATCGAAGAGTCCTCCCAAGAGCTTCAGAAGAAACTTGAGAAGATCAATGATCGCAGACTGGGCGAAGTCCTGGTGTAGAGAGATTTAGAGCAAGAGGCGCTGCATTCCATTTTTTTAGAAATGAAATTCAAGAATTCTACAGTGCGCCCCTAAGATCAATGGTCGCAGACCGGGCGAAATCCTGGTGTAGAGCTCTACAGAGGTGCTGCATTTTAGTTCCAGTTAAAGCAAGTTTCCTTTGCAGAGTGCCCAGGGTGCACCACGGGGAAAAATATTCTTGCTGTTGTTGAATACAACCAGAAAGCCTGTTTTACACCGTGCAGCCAAGAGCTCCTGCCATGATGTTTTGGATTTGGCCACTGCTTTTAAATACCCAGCACAAGTTTGGGAGATTCTATGTGTAAGTCTCCCAAAGGCTTACCATGCTTAGAGGCGGTCCTGGAACCGGCTGATGGCATAGCCCGCCGGAGTCTTCATGCCTGGAGCACACTGAGGCGGCGGCAGAATGGATGGGCAAAAAGGCTGCCAAATAGCTTCACATCCGTGCGTGCCTGTGTCTTCCATGTTCTGTCCTCTTCCAAAAAAACAGAACACTGTTGACTCGAAACAGCTTATCTAAGAGGCGAAGACAACTTCACCAACTCCACGGAGCAGATGGCAGAGGCCAGAGGCCCCCAGTGCACTGCAAGAGGTGCTCTCGAATGCGGTGTGCTGCCGTGGGCAGGTCAGCAACACCATTACCACGTACAGCTTCACGGGTCAAGACCCAAGCAAGTGCCTCAGCTGGCGCCTGCCCTCTGGGTGCTTCAGCCTTGCATCGTCCTCATGGGCGCAGGTGGCCCTATTCACTATGGCGTCCGATCGGTCAATTCCGTCGGCCAGAGCCCGCTGCCGAGTCAGGGTGCTGTATTTCCTGCAAATCCATTCAAACATCCCTTCATCGCCGTGTTGCCGTCTGCTTCTCTAAGGCTCCGAAGCGATGTGTACCGTGACACCCATCGCATAAAGAGAGCCAGCCGATGTCACAAATGTACAGATGACCAGTCAGTGGCTGCCCTACTTCAGACCCGTTTAGTTGAGAGGCTCTACAAGGGGGATGTTGTAGGTCACAGGAAGTGGGGCAGAGCCAGAGATACTTTGCATTTAGGACCCTGAAAGGGTTCCTGGCAGCGGCCTACAAGTGGCCTCTTGCCCGTTAACATACCAAGCCGGCTTGTTGAGCAAGCCGCCAGCACGGCGCGGTGTAACCAGAGCCAGGTAGTTTC